CAGGGTAGTGGTTTGCTTTCAGTTCGTCAGCATCGCTTTGCTTTAAAAGTTTCACCTTGTGGTATTTCATACCAAGATTTTACGACACTGTAAAATTGACGTTGTCGTTCTACTAAAGCAACTTTTGGCTGGTTACAAAGAAGCTTCGATGCAACATTGATCAGCAGTCGAAAAGAACCAAAATTTAGGAACTTCTTTCTTTAGACTTCTTAAATCGTCGTCTTCCTTAAAAGTTCGTTGTTTGTTGTCATTCAAATCAATTCTCCCAAACAGATACAGGTCCAAGGAGAACTAAAAGCTTTATATCAGTTAGCTCATCGTTGTATCCATCAAAAAACTTTGCCGAATGAAATAACCGTGCGTATGAGTAAACAGTGAGGATCAGCTGTGTTAATAACTTGAATTATTAAATGGCAAGGTCGTCCTGAGGCAAAACCAACGGTCTGATTGGTTCTTACTTGCTCCGTATTTTGTCATACGGACCGTTTCCACGGAACCGGCAGAAGCTGTGTATTTTTGTTTGCGAAAACTGGCAAATTCCGAACAAAAAAGTTCGCTACAAGTGCCATAAATAAACTAATTACGAACCTCGCTTGCTCGAGCCGGGAAATATTGGTCCTTGGTAGTTTTTTCACGGACCTCACCACGCTAGCTCAGTCGGTACCGCCACGTCCTCGGGCCGACATTTCCCAGTACGGCATTCAGGCTCGGTTAGTACGAAGTACATCATATTCTTTTTCCAGTTCTCCCAATTAAAAAATGTCTGATAATCAACCCCTGATTTTCATCGCTATTATTCTTCAAGACGCTTTCTTAATGTTCTAGCATCTTGAAAACTTGTCTCAGTTGTTCTATAGTTTTCTATCGAAATCTGTATGTTTAAATATCCTGGAGTTCCACACATAAAGTCATTGAGGTCGTGCGAAAATCAACACTTTGAGGCGAAGAAAGATTAAAAGCGCAATAGTTTATCATTTATATCAATTCGCACAATAGGGGAAAAATATTGGTATAATAATAACTTCTTACAAACCAAGCGTGAGTGCGTTAATGGGGAATATTGGCCTGAGGACGTGGCAATGTGGACCGAGGGCAGTGAGGTTCTCGAATCAGCGACCAAGAGCCAATATTTCCCTGCGTGGCTCGACCAAGTAAGGTTGGTGAGTATTTCATTATACGGCACTCGGAAAAAACTCGGTTAGTTTTTTTTATTTGCTGGCTTTAACGAACATAAGTACACGACTAGAGACTGTTTCCGTGGAAACTGTCCGTATTGCAAAATACGGACCAAGTAAGAACCAATCAGAACGCTCGTTTTTACCTCAGGGCTACCTTGCCATTAAATAATTTCTTCATTACACTTCTGATTATTTGTCAACTTTCTCTCACGGTGTGTGGTTCTTGTATCGCTCTGACTCTCGTGATCCCAAAGCTAGTTTCTAAGCTTATGACAATATAAAACCTATTTTAGCTACAGTTCTGAAATTTTGGTACAATATTGAGACAACATTCCCCAGTCATGGCAAACATGTTATGATTCAGGAATGTGTAAAAAATGCAGAGCTAACGAACATTTATTGCGCTTGAAAATAAAACAGGTGTTTTCTCCAATGTCGAATCGATGCAAATAATTTTTTCCTGTGAGTAAGTTTAAAGATTCATTCCAACAAAGCTCAGTCTAGATTTGATGTCAGTGGAGTGTATTTAAAGAAAGTTTCAATCCGTTTAAAATCAACTGAACTTAAGGAAGTCTTCAGGAAAATGGCGGTATTAAAATTGCCTTAGTAAGTTATGCTCAACACGCTATCTTTAAACTGGTAAAAACCTGGTTACATATCAAGTATCCCGCTACTTCGTTTTAACTTCTTTTTTTTTTTTTACAGGACTTCTGGAAAAATCACCTCTCCTTTATCTACGATTTTTTTAGTTCACTTTTTCAGTTATTTTTGTACCGAATTTACCATCTAATCTGGTTTCCGGAGAAGATTTCTCACCAGTTACTAAGTTGGCTATACGAGTATACAAGTTCTTTCATTTATCTCCCAAACTGAATCTAAAGACAGTATCTCATCTTCGTTCTAAGCAGTCAGTTTACTGAAAAACAGGGTCGGTGCTTAGGTGGGTCCTTTCTTCTCCTACATTTCTGTTTATCACAATCATCAGTAAACATCTCTTTCTCTGCAAAGCTGTTATTCAGTTTAATTGTAATGCTGTCAATATGTTTACTCTAGTTTTACATTGCTCATTTGCTTTCATTTTTGTAAGATGTCGTAAACCGGAAGGGGAAAGAAAATAACCGTTTAAAGTAAACACTGCAAAAGAGAATATTTCAATAAATGATGGCCTTCAAGACTTAGTTCAACATTATTCGCTTCCTAAGTATTACTTGACTTACCACGAGATCAGTTTGATCATGACTTCTAAGTTACTGTCACCTTTACAAGGCTGTAGACAAGATTAAGTTTAAAGCGGGTACAGTGGTTGGTTTAGTGTAAAATTTGTGTATAAGAAATAGTTAGTCAAGAGTGTTGGAGGGAGAAACACTCCAGCAAATTATCTAGATACGTTTTTAAAAATCTGACCTGTTTCATACGGAAAGTATTAACAAGAGAGGCTAACTCAAAAACGACTCCTTTCGTTTCTTACTTAAGTGTCCCTAGTGCTTTAAACACAAAGGCGCGCTATATAAGGAAGTCTATCCTGGGAAGACCTAGGCTCATTTGTCACTCACCGTTGACGTGTGCGGGTCAAATTTAAATGCTGGTAGACGAACAAAAGGAGCTAATGAGATATCTATTGTTTACTTCCACCAGCATGGTGGCATGAGGTAACGTGCGAACCACCTACTTCGATCTCAAATTTACCGCCACAAATAAAGACAGTTTCCATTGGAGAAAGGAAATACAAATCTCAAAAATTCTTGTATTGTGATGAAGACATAAAACAATTTTGAGGAATGCGCCCGCTGTTCACTGCTTTGGAGTAGCTGTAGCTCAAGCTGACTTGACTCTAAGAGTTCTACATCACACGACGGTTGATTGACAAATGGTCCAGTGGGACCTAAGGCTCCTTTTATAGCGCGCCTTCGTATTTAACACGAAGGGCGCTATAAAAGGAGCCTTAGGTCCCACTGGACCATTTGTCAATCAACCGTCGTGTGATGTAGAACTCTTAGAGTCAAGTCAGCTTGAGCTACAGCTACTCCAAAGCAGTGAACAGCGGGCGCATTCCTCAAAATTGTTTTATGTCTTCATCACAATACAAGAATTTTTGAGATTTGTATTTCCTTTCTCCAATGGAAACTGTCTTTATTTGTGGCGGTAAATTTGAGATCGAAGTAGGTGGTTCGCACGTTACCTCATGCCACCATGCTGGTGGNCTTTCTTAAACACGAAGGCGCGCTATATAAGGAAGTCTTCCCTGGGAAGACCTAGGCTCATTTGTCACTCACCGTTGACGTGTGCGGGTCAAATTTAAATGCTGGTAGACGAACAAAAGGAGCTAATGAGATATCTATTGTTTACTTCCACCAGCATGGTGGCATGAGGTAACGTGCGAACCACCTACTTCGATCTCAAATTTACCGCCACAAATAAAGACAGTTTCCATTGGAGAAAGGAAATACAAATCTCAAAAATTCTTGTATTGTGATGAAGACATAAAACAATTTTGAGGAATGCGCCCGCTGTTCACTGCTTTGGAGTAGCTGTAGCTCAAGCTGACTTGATTCTAAGAGTTCTACATCACACAACGGTTGATTGACAAATGGTCCAGTGGGACCTAACGCTCCTTTTATAGCGCGCCTTCGTGTTTAAAACCCATGGGCAGCATTAGTTACATTTCTATGTATTTGTTCAGCGGTTTATCGTTACTGTATATATAACTGGCACACGAGGTTTCAGTGTCGTCTCTTGCCGAAAGCTTTACTGACCTAGTCTGTAGCTTCAAGTTATCATGAAACCACTGGATTAAAAGATTAGTTTTGGAGCGAAAAGAGTTAAGTGTGGCGGGAAAAAAAAAATTAGGATTTGTAGAAAATCAGGTATTCATTCATGACGAAAAGCCCTTTGCCAGATCTTTGCCGAGACAACTTTGTCTTTTAGTGGGATGGCTTTCAGCTAACCGAGGCGCCGAGCACCGCTAATAAAACTCCGGTTTCTTGTAAACACCTGGTTATATAGCTTACTTTGATGATGAGGCGACACAGCTTATATTAGGCTGCAGCACTTTGCAAGTTAAAAGCGGGGCCAGTTTCTAGGTCTATGAAAAGTTTTTATCGTAACCGGGTTTTTCTGCTCGTGCTGCGAGGATGCTTCACGGTCATATAGTCGTCCTTTTACGAGACAAGGTCGGGCTTCGTCACATAAAGTCTGGAGTAATCGCTCTTGAATCTATACTAAAATCGTGCAAATTACTATATATTTATTCGATTAGGTAGCTAAATCGATTCATATCTATTTTGGATTAATTTGAATGTCCCTTTTTTTGACTTGTACTGAAAAGAATATAAAATTTCTTTTGCATCGTCCAGAAGATCTTTGACAGAATCTCGGCGCTATATTATAATTTTCTTTACGTTGGCAGGTGAAATTTTTTTAGTCCTCTAGGATGTTCAAAATTTTTCTATGATTCGATGGTTTCATTGAAAGCGGTATGAAAGTCAATCGGCTCTGCATTATCCTTGTCTCTTGCATTGCGGTTTGCACCCTCGATCTCTGATTACTATATTTACATCAATGCGAAGACACCTTTTTTCATCTTGATGTCTATCACAGATTATTTCTTTCCGCGGCGGGTCGCGAAAAACTTAGATTTATATCGCAGCGAAGCCCTGTTAAGATTAGAGAATTTGACTGATATAAAAATAAATTATTGATCTTCAAAAACAAATTTTGCGAAGGCGGAAAAATACTCTTTAACGATTAAGACTTTCAGTATGATTGGTTTGCAAAACAATGAGTCCAAAATGCAAATGAGTTGTTTTTTCGAAAGTAATTATATCTTCATCAATAATTCTTTTGCTCTTTCTATGGTATAGTAATCAGAGAAGAAATAGTTTTTTCCGCGTTGCTTCGCACAGACACTCAAACAAGAAAGCAACTGAAAGGTAAAAACTTCATTCAAACACATGCAATTCAAAGAATAAGAAAAGAAATCATTCCTGTTGGATGAAGATTTCGCGTTCTTTGATTGAATTTCCGTCACTGCATGAGAAGACCAGCTGCTTTGACTAAGGAAAAAAAAAAAGGAGCTGAGCTTGTGGTACATATCAACAAACCTGTGAAAACCCTGAGACAAGACGGAGTACTCCACCCGATTTGTGAAAGAAGAAGCTTAGGTTACAAACGCCTGTTTGACTTCGAATGGTGAAATGTCAACTGATAAAGAGACAGCACTGACGCCACTCAAAGCTGGTGGTTTCAAACCCAGCGAGAAAGAAAGGGAACGACTACGAACAGTGACTGCGTTTTTCGTATTTGGAGCACTGATTTACGCGACATATTCGTTGGTCATAGCGGGTGCTCAAGACATTCTGGCGGGAACATTCATTCAGACTTCCATGGTTTTGGTCGCAGACATCGGACCATATTTCGCTGTCACATTAATTGCGCCTTATTTCATGCAAAAGATTCCTTACTTTGTTCGAATCGCCACAGTATTCCTGACTGGAATCGTCGGATTTCTCATGCTTGCATTTGCTAAGCAAGTTCATTGGAAATTAATTGGCGTCGGGATAGCGTCGTTTGGTTATGGAGTGGGAGAAGTGACTTTTCTGGCCCTAACGTCTTTTTACCACGAAGTCACAGTCAGCGCCTATTCAGCGGGTACAGGAGCGGGATTTATAATCGCACCTTTATATTATACAGGTATGTTTGTGTTTATTTGTACAATTACTTCAAAATCTGAGTTTTGTCGCGCCGATAACCTCTTGTTTGTACCAAAGCTGATTCTTTTTCAGTAAATTTAAAATTCTTATTGCCATTATAAATATTTGATGTTAAGTAGCGCAAACGAAAATTATCATTCCACCGTAAAGGTTTTTTCATTTTAGACCAAATCATACATTTGATGAAAAATTTTCAAAGTTATAGTCATCCGATCAGGCGAACGGAGAGACTGTAAGCAAAATGATATGAAATCAGTGGTGCATGATGCGTGTTGCGATAATTTGCCTTTTGTTTATTTTTTCCTTGTTTGTATTTTAAATATATTCTATGAATGCAAGCACGCACTGACAATTATTAAAGAATTCATGCTTTTCTACATCTTAGCAAAAACGTGATAAAAAAATGTCCTTATTTTACGCCAACTACAAAATTTTAAAGAAAAAAAAACATTTCCTTTTAAACTTTGACGCGAGATTATCTGGACTTACATTATGATACCTTCCGTAGTTTAAGCTAAAATTACTTTATCCCTTAATATCCAATAGTTTTTATGAAAAAATTACAGTCTTAGTTAAAAATAGAGTGGTCATTCGATTCCTTTTTGATGGCATAAAATGAGTCAGCTTCATTAGATGCACTGAGTTGAAATGAAAATGCCCCCGGCAAAAATCTATAATACCACATTAGAACCCTGCTAGCTTGAATTGTTTAGCAATACTACACAATCCTATCACCTAGGTGATAGTAGATGACTTGAAAGCTCGCTTCAAGGGAGGAAAGGAAGAAACGGTTCGACGTAGTCGAGCTAGCCTGTATAGTCCTTCACAACATAAATCACGTAAAGCGCGCGCTCTGATTGATGAATTCAGTGACTACTTTTTGACCATGGGTATACGCTGCTGACGTGGGCAAGTGTTTTCAAGGTTATCGCTCCGATCCCCGAGCGACTCTTACGCTTTTTTCGTGCTAAGCAACCTTCCGCGTGCATCCATAAATCAACAGTGTACGCTGTGGTGATTACCAGTTGTTAAGTTGTATTCGGGAGTTAAGCATTTTGATTTGTTTCTTACTACAGCCATGACAACATGGGCTTGTGTTTCACCAAACGCCACCATATTAATCATGGCGGCCATGCTGTTATTGATCTTTGTTTGTTACTACGTTATGGACAAGAAACATCTTGGGTCTCCCAGTTACAGTTCCCCCGAGGCTAGTGAACACGGAATAAAATACACACCCATACAGGCTGATGGTAAGCTTAAGAAATACAATTAAGATAAAGACAATTTTAAAAAAAGGAAGAGATTGGTAGCTTAAGAAATTCAGTTACGATAAAGACAATTTAAAAAAAAGGATGAGAGTGGTATCGGAAAGCAATGACAAAAAATAAAAATGTCTTGGCTGTCTTGTTCATCGGGAATTAACTGACTTCCAGTGTCCAATAAGTAAAGAAAAACACTGAGGGGATAAAGAGAATTTAAGAATATGTAAATATTATGGCTACTCTATTGAGAATTTGGACTTACTTTTTCAAAGTTTGATTCTTTCAGTTTTTACATATGCTACTGAGGTCTGGGGGTGAGCTTTTTATAGTAAATATTTATTAAGTAGAATTGATAAGCTCTTTTCCAGGTGTTATAAGCTGGGATACTATTTAAAGCAGCACAGTATCTTGGATATCCGTCGTAATAGATATAAGAAATTATGGCAAAGGATTTCTTCCACCAACACTACGTTGAGCGATCTCTTACCTCCCCAGAGAACACGGCAGTTGAGAACTAGGTCGCATAATTATATTTTACCTAAGGTTCAGACAAGACGTTTTAAATCAGTATTTATTAATAGATGTCTTTTCAATAGTATTTAATACCTTTTCCTTTTCCTTATTCATCCTATTCATGTTAATTGTTGCACGTCTGTTTGCACAATAATTCTTAATAAAGACCTTTATTATTATTTAACCCTTTGAGTCTGAAGAGTGACCAGCATCTAATTTCTCCAATATCACCCCTCGATCAAAAATTAAGGTCACGGAAAAAGGGAATTATCACCAACTAAACAAAAGTTCTTGATTGTCAAACAACTTCTCCTCGTCAGCATCTTAGGAAATTTACGGAAAACCTTTTGGAGAATATGCGCACTGATGCAGTTAGAGTGTAAAGGTTTCAGGGACTTAAATATCCACCTCATTGGATCTTACAATCAATCAATCAATCAATCAATACTTTATTTACCCACGTAGCGTCGAGGAGTTCATAGAGCTCGTTCAAAATACGTACGTGCCTCTAAGATTAAGAATCTAAAAAACCTAATACATACTGTCAAAACCTAATTGATTAGAAATTAAAATAACTAACAAGAGAAAAATTGAAGCCGAAAATCACGTTTTCGGTCATAAGTGGTGTTATATTTTAATACAGTAAAAACTTGTGCATATAAACCTGCTAAAGCTGATATAAGAACATGTTAGGCTAAAATTTCCCAGTTAAGCACCCTTCACATAAGAGCCATTTTGGGCTACAATTTCAATTCAAGTTCTTATTTTTAGAGTATAGGGTTTATTTTTTTAGATATATTACACTACATCACATGCAATACAAAAACTCGCCAGAACACAAACAGTGTTACAAGATCATAATACTGTTCGGTTAATACATCCATAGTTGTGCAACATATCCAGCTGCATGTAAAAGTTAAAAATGTTACTGAAGCAGGACACAGGGTAGGCTGATAGTGTCACACTCTCACACCCACGAATAGACGTTTCTATTTCTCAAACAAAAATCAACCTAAGTAATCTAACTTCGTGTTAAACACTATTTATATAATAATAACCTGCGGAAGCTAACTTGAAAAAGATCTACGTTCTTATACGCCAGTTTTTACGGTATCGCCAAGAAATATATTTTAAAGTTAGCTTTTTCACCTTTCGAACAGCAAGCTCCATTTCTCACTCAATTAGGGATAGCTGGCCTACGGTGCAATTATGATTGACAGTAGCCATAAAAGCTCAAGAAACAATGATTGAATTTAGCCTGGCGAGGAGCTGCTCTCCTCACGACGAATTTAGACAAGTTTTGTTAGTTTGTCAGGTTCTGCATAAGATTTTCATTTGTTTTCGATAGACGCCGAAGCTGAAGATACAAAGTCAGAAGACAATGAAAACGACAACTCACTCTCTTATCAAGAAAAGCTCATGATCCTCTCTCAGATGCTTCCCAATTTGATACCGATTTATATTGCCTGGTTCTCAGAATATACGATAATCCAATCCGTCATTACAACTTTGGCATTTCCCAACGCGCCATTCAGACCACGTGACCACTACCAGTACTACATTTTCGTATTCCTGGGAGGTGAGGTTGTGGGACGGTCTTACCTCGTGGTACTTTCTTACGTGAAAGCAGAATGGGCCGAAAAAGCTAAATTCCCGTATCTATGGGTCCTTTCGACGATAGAAGTCATGCACCTTCTGTTCTTCGTCTTCGCTGCCTGGTATCGTTTTCTACCGAACGTTTGGATCGTACTGGTGTTGTCATTCACGGGTGGGGCTACCATCGGAGTTTTTTTCGTCAACGCATTGGCATTCTTCAGAGACAGATTCGATGATCGATATAAGGAGTTCGCCATGGGGTACACCGTGGTGGCCATGGGAGGGGGTACTTTCACGGCCTCGATGGTCGGCCTTATGACTGAGCCCCTGTTAAGAAGGCACTGTATGGTGCTTCTGAAGAGCGATGATTATTGTTTTACTCGGTCAAAAGCCCGAGAGCATATCATGTCCCAATGCCTCGTAAAATCGTCAAAGTAACTCACGGCGATTCGTGTCCCCTTTGGAAGCATTTCATTAATTCTAAATTCACACCTTATGATTTTGAACATGCTTTCAATATTCTTGTAGCCGACCATGGCTGGTCGTTTTTTGGGATAGTCATGATGAGATTTAATAACGGGAATTCGAATTCAATGATGAATAAATCAATAAAATGGGTTGGAAAAATTCAAAATATTGCTGTGCTACCTAATACATATATCTTATTAACCAAGCGCGAGGGCCGTACTGGGAGAATATCGGCCCGAGGTCTTGACAGTACGGACCGAGCGCAGCGAGGTCCGTACAAAAAATAACGAGGGCCGATATTCTTCCAGTAGGGTCCCGAGCAAGCTTGGTTAATAAGAGATTTATTATGCGACTGAAGTTCAAAGGGACCCAAGTGCCCGGTCCAATACTGAGAGAATATTGACCGGCAATAGAGCATTTTGATTGATTGATTTTAGTTATTGGCCCTCTGACTGCCCGAGTCGTGTAATAAAGAATTCTTAATAGTCAGAGACCATTGAATTCGAAATGATATCAGAGAGAACGCCTTTACGTCTGATGTTTGACCCTGAGGAATATGGTTGGTTTTGAACTTTGGGAAGATAAGTCGGGTCCCATGCTTTAATTGGTTATCCTCATGAGCAAAACAGGCTAATAATTGACGGCTCTGTTCCCTCTAACATCCAGCCATTTTTATCCCAAGCTTAGTCAAAATGGCAAATTTGACGCTCTCCTTTGAAATAACATACCATTCTGTGACAATAAACGTTCCCTTCCCCTCCCCCCACACCAACAACCTCCTTAACAGTTCAGAATAATCCAAATGTATCCAGATACATATTCCTGGGTGGGGGTTATGGGGAACTGTGTGAGTGAAGTGTAAACTCAACACAGTGACCTTCTGGCAGGGAAGCCAGCAGAAGAATCACCAAGCCAACCAATTTCTTCTAAAAAGGTTCCAAATTATATTTCTTTTTTTAAATGACTATCAAACCTGATCCTGTGTTGGACCAATACGTCTCCCGCAGTCGACCACGGAGATTGACTGATCGAGACTTGATAAAAACGAAGATTTTTTCAACTTTGACAAGCGCTTTGCATTTAAAAAGCTTTATAGTCTTAAATATATATCTATTCTCCTCGAGATGTTATTGAATGCGGCTTATGTAAATTATTAAGGAATAACCTAGAAATAAAAATAAGACATTCAAAACTCAACAATACGAGGGGGAAACATAGGGGCAGCAAGGTGACGTGCAGACGCTATGGCTGTGAGATTCATTCTAATGTATATTTTTAGCAATACTATCATTTCAAACAGTGAACCGGTTTTCGAGCCACCTAATTGATAAGATACGAGGTAAGGTCACATAACTTTTGTCAATAAAAACTGCGGTTTTGACTTTGTCGGAGGCAATATCGGACGAGAATCTGATTGGGACATTGTACGGACTTCCCACCGAGGAAGACGCAAGCGGCTTTTCCACAAAACTGCAACGATAAAAGCTTATAACAGCTGCTTTAGTAAACGACTGAATTACTCTTTCGCTATTGGCCAAAAGTTATCCCACACCGACAGGCCACGTTTTTCACTAAACTTTTCCCGATAGTGACGAATTGGAAATTTCTATTCCAAGACACACTATATTGTCAAACGGCGGCAAGACACAGATGAATCGCGGCAGCTACAAGCGTCACGTGCAAGGTAAAGAAAAACAAATTTTTGAAATGCGTGGGCGCCCTCACGCTCAGTGCAGAAATAAGGCTGCCGTATCCCTTTGTTCCCTCAAGAGACAAGAATAACGCAGGAGTAATTGAGTTTTCAGTATTGTTGTTTCCGGTCTGAAAGGTGATGAATATAATAACATAAAATAATATGGTATATGAGCTTCAATTTCATTCTAAAAGCAAACAAGAAAAACTGTTGTCTAGAAATCCCTTTTTTTTTTCTGAAAAAAAGGACCGCTGAACGTTGGTTTACTGCCTAACATGAAAATAAACGACCAGGTACACGGTAATGTCTGCGTAAGCTGTGCGGACCTTTTCCCCTGCCTTTTGCTAATGTAATCCGGAACCATGTAGAGGTCGTGGCTATCATTTTCCTTAGTTCGAGGTTATTCAATTTTCGTGACCTGATTCTCTACAAACAAAAAATCCTGATCCTTCGATCTCAATAGTGTATTCAAAACTATGGAAGTTCCTAAGTGACCATTTATCATGGTAACCTTAAAAGAAGGAAAAACCCACTTTTACTGCCCTTCAAATGAGAGGGGGAAACCTTTCTCAAGACGTTTTTAGAATACAGTTGTCTAGATGGAGCGATTGAATTTAAAAAGCACTAAATAACATTAAGAGCTACAGAAAAGCGGAAACTCAGCTTCAGGGCCAATTTTTTTTCCCTCTTTTTTTTTTTCGCCTTAACGTTTTAGTCAACAAGCATAATTCATGTTTTTATCAACAAAGGGCTCATTCTTAAATCTCAAAAGGTCATCTGCAAAGAGAACCATTCAGCAATTTTTGATAAAGCTAAAAAAGTAGTTCCGTAAAAAAAAAATTATGCGGGGGCGATCGAACATGAAAAATTTCCAATCTCGCTCTCTAAGAAATAGATCGTTCTTAACTAACACTACGCATTTTCACCCATTGACTAAATTACTTCCTTTGAGTGAACAAACTTTGTACTTTGCTATAGTTTAATCAAAAGCCTTAAAAGCTTTAGTCTGTGATAGCCAGGAGGTTTACACATGCAGCCGGTAAAAGCCAATTATTATTTATAATATTCACGATTGTTTAGTCCCACGCAATATCACGTGATGAACCATCTGCCGCGTAGTACGCTGAGAAAAAAGAAAAAAACGTTGTTTTTTCCATGTTAATGCAAAGTGTCGCCTCGTCCCCCGCCTTGCCTGCCTGAATGGTTCAAACAGTTGCTTACCAAGAACACCCTATGATACGCAAGAATAGAAAAGAAAAACAGTTTGTGGTTTGATTTTATCGTCGGTTCTATTTTGTGTGTGTGTGTGTGTGTGTGTGTGTGTGTGTGTGTGTGTTTTCTCTTGAAACTCATTATAATTCAGTGAGCTTCGACGACCAAACAGAAAAAATGAAACCGTCTTCAAAAAAAAAAAAACGATTTTTCGTCATTGTTAATAATTTTCTCGCCACCTATGATAAACTGGATTTTTCGATGGGTTGTTGAAAGCCCTAATGGCACTAAAAGGAGAACATTTAATATTACAGTAAATCTTAATTCCTGACATGTTTGTAAGTTATCCCGTGGCAATATTTCTCCCTTGAACTAGAGAGCGATTCCCAATCAGAAATCGTGCGGTAATTGTTTCAGCGATTCCTTGATGCACTTGGACAATAGACTTCTTTTTCCGCTTGATTCCTTTTTTTGCACTGTTGCATTTTGAGGACCCCCAAGCGGTCATTAGTCGATGCTGAAGGTAAATTGCACTTCTTTGAAGCCAATTTGGGCGGTACTTCAATTATTCTCCATTGTCCACAGGAAGCGGATGTGTTGCAAATGCAAACATATTTTCAAGGAGAAGTTGAAATAAGTGATGCTTAAATTTTCAGTAAATCTGAAATAAAAACGGAGCTTCAAAGCGTGATAATATTGTCAAACTCAGCTGGAAACTGATGCTGAGTTGTAAGCTACCCAGACCAACAATTCTTCCCAGTATTGGAAATCTAAATAACCCCACAGAGGTACCGCAGCGCATATTCATATTTTGATTATGCACGGCGAATTTGATTGGCGAGCCATTCTATACATCACAATATTCACATCCTGTTCATAAAAACTGGGGAAGAGCATGAGAATTAATGTTTATATACACCAAATCGGTGGATTAAGGACCGACTTTGATCTGCATCAGACGCCGAGTGAAAACCTCCTCCCGAACATGATCTCCCCATCGGCACTCAAAGAGGACAACTCAAGTGCTACTAATTTAAGCCTTGTAAACAACAGTACTGTCTATGGAGGACTTGTATGCGAAGGGCGCTTTACCTGGTTCATTCATGGCCCTATGATTCCATTCTGCGTTCTGATCATCGCTTCTAACATTGTCGTCATAGCATTAGTGTTCTGGAAAGAAAGTTTGCGCACTCTAACCAACATCATCCTCGTTTCGCTGGCTGTATCAGATCTTATGTCAGGGTTAGTGGGTATCCCCTTACTTTTCGCCTGCCCTTTCTCGAAGATAATATATCCGTGCATTGCATCTGTCCTATTCATGCGCTTCACGACCGTTTCAACAGTGCTCCATTTCGTGTTGGTCGCCTCCGATCGCTATGCAATGATCATTTATTCGATGCGCTACAACGCACTCGTAACAAGATCGCGCGTCGTATGTGCTCTTACAACAGTTTGGATCACATCCATTGTAGTATCAACGGTGCAGATGACATGGTACGACGTCAGTAAAAGGTTGGAGGAAAAAAAACGCGAAGACGAAGTTTACACTTTTCTTTTCATCATAGTTTTTTTCGCTTTACCTCTGCTTTACATGTTGTGTGTCTATAGCCATATTCTCGTCGTTTCTCTTCGACTCCTCTTCGCAACCCGAGCGCGTCGCACGAACTTGGGTGACGAACCCGTGAACTCCATCATGCGAGACTTTCGAGGAACAGTAATTCTGATCTCAATGTTAGTTGTGTTCACGGGCTGCTGGTTTCCATTTTACCTTCTTATATTACAAGATCATGTTAAAGTGGAAATCATACCAATCCATTCCTGGGAGATGTGTTTGTTTACGTTCATGCGTTTTCTTCCGCCGATGTCAAATCCAGTGTTCTGTTCGTTTTGCAAACGCGATTTCCGAAGAACTATACGCAATTGGCTGAGCGCGCACGGAGTGAAGATGTGCCGAAAAAAAAGTGAGCATATTCGTGTCAGATTCACTCGAGGTCAATCGGATGGATTCACCGCTGGCTGCGTTAGGAGTGGAACAAGTTTAGAAACTTCACTGCAACGTTCCCCATCCCCACGAAGCTTAAGAGCAGCTAAACAAACCACCACCACAAACCACTGAACCAAAAAAGGTACATCTGTAAAATATACTTTAAAAAGACCGACAGCATTTGAATTCATCTTCTCTTTAGGAAAAGAAAGATTACTTTTTGCACCATTTACTTTTCTGGTTGATTCGCTTTCGTTTTCTTTTTTTACACATGTATGCAAAAGAACATTTTGTGACATGAAACCCATTTCGGCTCAAGCTGTAGTTTACTCTGTATGATTCTAAATTGCATAACAAAAAATCTTATGTAACTTAATGAGTAAAACCGCGAGGAATAACGTATTTAAGAAAATTATCTAACGATAACTTTACAACCCGAGGGTAAATTAATAAGCGTTTACTTGGAGAGATATCCGAAACAAAAGAAGAAAAAAGTCATATCCCGGTAAAAATAGAAGAACAATATTACACTGAATTTATAGCTCAAGGGTTAAAGAACGAAGCCATTGGTAATAGACGGAGAAACAGTGAAATATTATGCGAAGTGATGCCTGCAATATAATTGATGTATCTGTAATGTAAGTGTCTCAATAAATATAGCAAGACAAAATGAATGTGTAGTGTTCTTGAAATTACCTTTTATGAACGATCTTGGATCCAAATCTACACCTACATCTTTAAAAATTGATCAAAAGGGGGTTTGTTTCTTATTGTTTTCTTTTCTTAAAATAGAAGCAATGACAAAAAAGCTATTTTTTTGTAAAGCATAATACACTGAAATAAGTAATTAATCGTCGCTATGTAGTGGCTAGCCAAAACAAGTTGACATTTCCTGTGTGAGATTTCTAACTGATCCAGCAATTTGCCATCTAAAATTAAATTGTCGAAGTTCTGGAAAGCTTTTTTTTCGCGTTTTCAATTTTTTTTTTCTATTTCCCTCTTACCGTGGCCTCCCTCAAACCCCTAAGTATAAACAGAGTCAATATTTAGATTTTGTTTAGATTAGTAGAGAGACTTTTTATTTCATATTTGCATATGCAATTTTCCGGAAAATTACCTAAAAAAACAATCATTTGGTATATAAAACCTTCTTTACGCTCGAAAAGGATAAAAATACATCCCCTCTCAGTGAAAAAGTTCTATTTCTAGGCACAGTGAACGCGAAGCTCAAATTACAATCCATCAAATCTTTTCGCTCGCGCGCGATTGGTCCAAAAGCAGAACATAAGCGAATAAGCTCTAGCTAAGTCTACGGAATATCCGGTGAAATTCTCCAGGTGACCTTTTCTAACTTACGAATCTTACATTCAATTTGAGAGAAGTCTTGAAATTTATTTCAAAAGAAGACTGAAACGCTTTTTTTTTTTTTCATGAATTTGCATGAAAGACCATGAAAAGTCAAAACAGAAAGCGGTAAGTTGTTTATAAACATTTTACCCGCGTTGAATAATACTTGAAAAAACTTGCTCGACAGTTTGTATTTGCCACGGAAATGTCTACGTATTCTTGTCTTTGGACGCCGAGTGTTCCTTGAAGTTTATCGTGTTTTCCTCCAGCTTCGTTCTCGGAGAACTGTTCGCTTCTTGGAAAAAAAAATACGCGCATAATTTCGCACCTTATGGCGCCTTTTGTCTATATACAAACATTTCTAATGTTCATGAAATTTCCGGAAAGTTTTATCAAGAAGGTCAACAAAGAGTATATTACACGGAGGTCAAAGAAGATGAAGGTACCTTTCTGGCCTGAATATAAACACCGCATCGCCGAAAAGCGGCTCCAAGTTGCGACCAAAACTAATAGCAATCCTCTTTGTACGAAGAAAAGTGTCTTATAAAGCTCAATTCAGAGAATGCCTGGGTGCGTGAATTTTATTCAAGAAAATGGTGCTATTTCCTGCTTTCTATCCCCTGACGGTTTCAATATAAAAAGCTACAGGATAGTTTTGGGAACACTGTCAATAAAACAACCCACCTACTCAAGAAAAGGATAGCAACTGTATTTACGGTGGATGCTGTCACCGGTATATTTCAACACGACATTTCATGACTATAGCGACGAGAATCTGAATCATATTGAAATTTTAAGCTCCATGAAAAACCCTTTTCAGACAGACGAACACTTTGTCAGCTTTAAAGGAATTGTTAGAACACGTACGTTTAAAACAAGCGCAGTCTAAAACAAATGGCCCACTATGACAGCAATGCAATTCTTTCGAGTTCCATGCAGAGGAAAACTCAGAGTTCTCAGGGTGTTTTAGAGTAACAGTAAAATGAAAGAGTTAACAAAAGAAAGCCGCCAAAGTGATTATCGTATTTTCTAAGAAAATCCTGCATGTCTTGTTACGCTCACAATACTTTCAACTTAGTGAAGAAAAACAATGCAACTTTAAAAGTGTACTTTCTGAGGTCAGTGACACACTTTTAAAACAAATCAATATTTCGTGAGGTTTGCTAATTGCTCATTTTCATTTTTCCTTTAATTTAATTTAATTTTTTTTTCATATTCTACTTGTTTGATCAGGAAAATTCTTTTAATATATTAAATTTAGAATATGTAGCCACATCAAAATAATGTTTGACCTCACGATAAACCTGTTTTTATTCCTAGAATGACAATTAGTTTGCATAATTTTCTCTATTGATGAAAACATTTTCAAATTGCATTTCAAAAATGGTCAACAAAAACTAAATCCTAAAAGATAACATGATGTTCTTCTGAAAGAAGAACAACATGATGTTCTTCTGAAAGAAGAACATCATGTTATTTTTTTGTTGTTGTTGAATAGGAGTAATTCAATTATGAAAACTCAAATTTGAAAATTGCATTGGCTTTGGACGGTAATGGCCTTGTCTAGAACTCTCTGTTTTGTCTAATATTAAGCAAGGAAAGAGTGAATTTTCTTAAACGACTTAATTGTGAGAGACTTTTTTTATCACGCTGAGATAAGTGAAGAATAACTCAACAATACACGAATGTTCAGAGAACTTCCTATTTTGTTAAGGCTTTCAAGAAAATCTTACACTTCCCGAGAAGGAATCTGGGAGCCACTTAGCTTGTGAACTGCCATTCTAAACAGGAATTTCACAAAACCGTATCTCCTTTCTATTTCATGACATTTTGGAGTTTGTTTGTCAATTTGTATTGACGCAGCCATAACTCCCCTGCAGTGGAACGAATTGATTGTATTGTTTGCGTGCGGATCGCGGCCGGTGACCTCATCTGAGCTGCTGAAACCTGTTACCTGTTGCATAACAAAAGTTACTGATTCAGAATATCTGAGATTTGGGTCAACGATCAGACCTAAACTTGGAGAAGTATCTTATTCATTCATTCCTTATAAAAAATACATTTTCGTGCTTTCATTCACTGAATTCTCCATTGCGTGACAGTAAATTAAAAACCATCATAGATTCTCCCCTAGACAGATGGCGACTGAAAGTAATTATGGGAAATTTACAATGCCAAAATAATCATCCTCTTTTTGGTAAAATAACACATTCATTTTTTAAACAGGTGGTTTTTTTTTGAAAAAATATCTATATTTAAATTTCAAAAAAAGATGCAAAGTTTTCTTTTTTAGGGTTGAAATTATATACTATACCTATTCTCCTTTTGTACAAGTATTTGTAAATATGGCTAATTTTAGACGGTAATTCCCTCAATAACTTTAGTTGTTTAAAGAAAAAAGAAACAATCTTCTACACTGTTTGCCATATATTTCTTACATTGTTTAGCTCTGAGAATTTAATGCTAAGTCAAACAATAAGAATCGTAAGCAGTCACGACGACAACTCCGAGGAAGACATCGATTGGAAATAGAATTTATATTTTTAGTCGTTCTCAGACCACGCAAATTTTGATGATTTCACCTTGTTGTTGTTAGAGAGGACGGTTAAGAAATGAACAGAGTTTTAAAAGGCACGTGCTGAGCTATTGTTCTACCCATTAGTTTTTTGTTTTGCCACGTCCTCAATACCGTCACCGTCGTGATTTGCCAAACTGAGGTCCGTTTTGTTTTGCAGAGCTGGGCGGCTAGAGAGAGAGAGAGTACAAAGTTAAAAAATGCACGTGTCGAGCTATTGTTCTGCCCATTTCTGCTCATTAGATCTTTGATTACCACGTCCTCGTTACTATGCCATCGTGGTACGCTACAAGATTTCTCCCTAAGTTAACAATTTTCTCTATTTTTAAGATAAATTTATTTTAATCAGTAGTGGAAATGAATAAAATTCCATAACCACTTCCTGACAGATATGGATTTAAGTTTCACTAGCAAAAGAGACAAATAGTTTGTCACGGCTACCACAAGAAAATAAAACGTGGATATCTTATCTGCAATGCAAAGCCAATATATCAATAAAATAGTATCTTGATGCGTTCTTTCTTGAGGTAGTTAGCACCTCGTCAGCTGAAAAGCTCACAATCGTTATCTTTTCACCAGTTTGAATCTCAAGCGCGTTCCCTACTATCTTCATACCAGTTCGTTCTTTTACAGTTGTAAGGTTTCACAGAACTCGCGCGGGGACTTCCACGCGTAGAGCACTTCCACGCGTAGAGCACTTCCACGCGTAGAGCACTTCCACGCGTAGAGCACTTCCACGCGTAGAGCACTTCTACGCGTAGAGCACTTCTACGCGTAGAACAGAATCGTTAAAAGTGAACATGCTGTTGTTTTATACGCTCGTTTGGAAAGTTCTGTTTAGTCACCACAAATCCACTTTTCGTTGTGGGCCAAATTGTTTATGGGCGACTTATAATCAAACTGAGGCCTATCACATGCATTACTTCGTATGCGAGCAGATTTATAATTCGAGTACACTTTTTTATCTCCAATCAACCCTTGTTTATAATCATGTTGGCAAATCCTTAAAAACAGGAAGAGTTACTTCTTTAACGTCAGCAGGTGATTAACATGTCACTGGTTCTGTTAAGAAGACATTAACGAACTTGTGCGCGCGCGACTCGCGTGCGCGTGCGCGTGCTTTGGGATTACGTGGGTTAAGGTGGCTCGTACTAGTTTCCTCGCGCGGGGAACAGAGAACTCTTGCGTCACGCGCGAGAGAAACGTGCGAAAGAAGCGCGAGATTAAAAGACGAAAATTTAAAACAAAGATGGCGGCGCGAGGATTTTTTTCTACTTATGTGAGAAGTTTACCTAAGAGCTTGTATTTGATGTGTTGAGCGGCTACTGTGAATGCAGGAGATAGAAACTAAGATTAAGGAAACTAAGATCAATATGTATGTATGTATGTATGTATGTATGTACAGTCATGAGAATATAGAAATGATCGCGAACTCAAGAAGCTCTTGATTATTAGAAAGTTCTCCGTAAATACTATGGGAAATGTATAGAGAAAATTATTGAGAACTTGAAAACTGTTGTTAGAGTTAACGGGGTCAAAGAAGGAACGGCTTATTTGGAAATTTCTGCGAAAAAAATTAATCCCTGATAGTTCCGATCATAAACTGTTGTGCGATTTCTTCACGATTATTTGTTTCGGCTAGGGAAAAGCAAACATAACTAATGAGGGGGCCACCGTTGTGAATTTTGAAAGTTTCTTTAATAAAGGTACTTTATCATTATTTAACACTGTCCTAACGGGTGTAAAAACAAATCACTTATAAAAGAACAAAGCATAACAGCATAAAATAAGTATTACATAGTCAAATGAATACTGTTCCTAATATTACTCTTTAAAATTAGTTTTTACGAGTACAACCAATAAACTTCATCCAAATTTTGTCTTACACAAAGTGGATATTTGTAATTCTTATTTTATGAAGTTTATGAAATCTAACTTAAATCAATACCTTCAAAGTTTGTTTAGTTCAAAATTCTCACTGTGAAAAAAAATTGCCATCTGATCGAAGAGGCAAAATGTATAACTCCTTTACAAAAGCTCTCAACTCTTCAAGCCTGCGCTACGCATGGGCCAAAGACATTTTAATTCCGCAAATGTAGTTCTCTTGGCCCTAAATTGTCTGTTCCATTTGCAATATCCGCTGCTGTATTATCACAGCATGTGGCCGAATTTTCCTAACCGTACTATTATGCAGATGTAGGTTTAGGGCAGAAGTCAGGGTGTTGTTCCCAAAGTCCGAAATGCAGACGGATTAGGAGTGGA